TATTTGGTGCACTTGTACCTAAAACGGAGTAAATGTCCTCATTATTAACCACATTCTAAGGTTGTCGTGCGTTGTCTTTGTCTATTCCCATCGTCCCCATTAGGTCATCTTATGGCGTGGTCTATGGCGTGTAGAGCTGGACAAGTAGCCGTTAATCGGGTTATTTTGGTGAAAATTATGTTTAAATGCAGTAGTTTGATTACAATAACTAAAAACAATAATATATTGAGTCTCGATTAATATTTGGTATAAATAAACGTATAGTTAAATTGTTACCTATACCTAGAAACCACTGTAGTAGTTTATGAAATTAGTACTTTATGAAATATAACGAAATGGAAGCGGCTGGCGCGGGGGGAGCTCTGGGTCGCCGCCCCCCTTGGAGATTTTCATAGTACTAAATTACTCAGTAATAGTTACATTTAAATCATATTAAAGAAAAAGTCAACTCTTAATTGGTTTTACATACTCAGTATAGAATCAAAAGTCACTCACTTGACAGCAGAAACTCGGACTTGAGTAAAATTCACTCACTTCTGTTGCAATAGTTTCACTCATAAAATTTTAGTTGTACTCATTCAATCGGGTGTGGACAGAAATTGATACATTATTGAGTAAAATTGAGTGATTTTTTTATAGCGTATTTATCCAGTCACATAAAATTTACTAATGCATGATTATCAAAATTTTAGTAAGTATTAATGTCAAACATATAAACCTAAAATTACATCTTTTGGCATCAAATTTACATAGCTATAACATGTTGCATAATTTGATTTTTCTTGTATTATTTTTAAAAGTATCTACATTTACTTAAAACTAATTTATTTTCCTCGTCTTTTCTTTTTCTACTGGCTTCATTGGAATTCAAAATAAGTAATACAAAATAAACACTTTTGCTTTTACTACTCATATTTTACTAAAAAGCCTTTGATGATCTAATTTCGTATATGAATAAACAGAGATGAGTAAGGAGAAAAAATAAACAACAAAAACTGATTCTAAAAATATCAAAATTGGCAGGAATCTATGGCAGAATTTAGTCATAGTTATATTTTAGTACCTATCTAAAATTCTCACGGTATTTTAAAGTATTTTTATTTGATTGAAAATCCATTTGGAGACAAAACTGTCATTAAATTTAATTTATGTTTCCTCAATTTCCATTTAATATTGCGTAATTAAAGACAGAAACAGAGTTAGCTAATAAACATTTATAATTGCTCTTATAAGTGGGCTAATGTAGGAGTTTCGTTTGCATTCATTTAATCTTATTTCGATTAATTCTGCGCAATCTTCGTTTAAATACTGGGGGAAAACAATAATTTCTTTGTATTTACTCACGAATCTAAAATATCCGAGACGTGGGTGAAGGAATGGGCGTCAATCTTAAGCTGATGGGGCAGTTTTCGTCATATAATTTTGTCACAAATTCAGATATGAAAACAAGCGCAAGTATTCCCTCAAACTGGCAAAATTTCAGGATTTATTCATGTTCATGTGAGAATGAGCAACCAAAAATGACTACTAGAAATCAATTAGGAATTAAATAAACTAAATATGTATAAAAAATTTATTTTTAAAAATGTTTTTTTTATTAAGATATTATTCTAATAAAGTTGACTTTATTTGATAGGTTTCTTACGAAATTTATTTTTTAATAATGAAGTAATTATATAAATGTAAAAAATACAGTTAGCTATAATAATTAAGTATAAATTAGAGGATTAGAGTTAATTACTAATTTATAGAATCCATTTTTTTTTAGCAAACTTGCGTACTGTTGTCTAATTATAGTTAACAAATAATAAATTCATACATTAAAATATTGCACACGACCTAACATACCTACTGATATATCAGCATGCTTATTAAAGAACTACCATGTCACTTTTAAATATATATAAATATGTTTTTAAATTTTCCGTCACTCTAAAAATATTTAAAAATTGTGTTATTAATAAATACAGTGTAACATAAAAACGGAGATAATCTCAAAATAACTTCATACAGTTTACCTTATAGACTACTACATCAGACATATTATGTATATTTTGCTCAGATAAATACTTTAAAGCTACAAAAAGACATCTCGTATGTTCAAAGTGGATAATTTTTATTGAATAAAAGGTCGCATAAAGAGAACACTTTGTCTAAAAAAAGTTTTCTTAGAAAATCTCTAATGATTTACCAACAAAACTGGAAAGCAGCTTAAATATTTATATAGAAGTGAAATCACAGAAAATGACATCATTTTCCAACAAAAAAAAAACAAATGCACTGCCAAAATCCGTAACTATAATTTGAAAACATGAAATATCGATGATACCAAAACAAACAAAAATATTAAATTTGGATATGGACACACAGAATATTGTTCAGCAAGTACATGACGAAAAAGGATGTTATATGGAAAGTTGTATTTTGAAAACTTAGCAAATTTATAAACTATGACATGCTTTTTTGGAATTTCAACTTTGTGACCTCAATTTGTTTACGGAATCGCCTACATTTTGCATTACTTCACTGACAACATTATCGAAATCTTTTTGCAAAAATTTAAAGTCTAACTAACTCTTAAAGAAATCTATTCAACAAAATAATAATCAAAACTTTGAACTAAAACTGAGTACTTCCACTAAAATATAGATACCCGTCAAATAAATTCTACAGAAAAACTTGTATTTGGTACATTTGTAGCTAAATCGAAGTAAATGTCTTCATTATTGAGTGATTCCACCCCATTCTATGGTTGTCGTGCGTTATTTGTTTATTCCCATCGTCCCCATTAAGTCATCTCGTGGCGTGGCGTATGGCGTATAGTGCTGGACGAGTGTCCTATAATCCGGTTATTTTGATGTAAATTATGTTTAAATGCAGTGGTTTGATTACAATTATTAAAAACAATAATATATTGAGTCTCGATTAATATATGGTTAAATAAACGGGTAGTTAAATTGTTACCTATACTTAGGTAGGTACGTATCTGTAACATTCAGAGTGACTCACTATAGTATTTTGATCCCCCCTTTAAATTTTTTGTTTTAAGAGTTATAAAAAAAAAGTGAAATGCATAAGTTGAACGATTTTTTATGAAGTTTTCGATAATGATGGTAGAAAAATAAATGAAGTCCAAACAAAATGGCCGCGGATGTAAATTTTGTTAATTTTTTTTTAATTTTTGTTCTGTCTAGTATAGTCATATTGGGTTTGTTTGGTCCATCTTTAACAATAAGCGAGATAATATTAAAAAACGAAATGAAGGGTTTTTATTAAGAAATAAAGAAGACATATTTTGTGATTGTTAGACCTCTTTCAGGCATTTCTGCCTTTTTCCAATTACGTAAGGATTTAGATTTAGTTGTAATATATTTTGACATATTGGACATTGATACGGTCCAAAATGCTTATAGGTATTTTAACTAAATCTCACTGATTAGATCGTGTGAGGCCAATGGACAATATTATATGGTAGGTCGTGACAGTGACAGGTAGGAATGTCATGATAACATTGTTATTGATTGACAGTTTATTATTTAATTAAAGTAACCCTAACCTTCCTCTAGCGACTCCGTGTAGCAAATACGGGACGGATTAGTCAATCTCATTTAATCTACTCTTATAGCTTGGAAAATCCGTAAAAAAACCAGCTACTTAATCTGTTCCTTTCCTTTCCAATTACTATCAATTTAACAATTTGATTTAATTCTACTTTGGAACCTCTACGCTCTTCTCGTGATTTCGCGCATTATTAAAAATATGGGTTTCTACGCTGGCGCCTCCCAGACGCAACAGATAACTGGTGACATGGCCCCGACTCTAAGTGAACTTTTAAAAATACGGTTAAATTTCTCCGAAGGACGACGCTACCTACTTGAAACTCTTAACTTTCGATAATTTGTGTTGACTGAAATATCTTACTTTTTGGCCCATCCGTTCCGAGAACTAACAAATAAATTACAACGCGTCCCGGCTTTTGTTACAATACAATGATATTTAAATTAAAATTTAAAGAGAATATAAAGTGGTGTAAAACCACTTATGATATGAATTAAATAGAAAATATCTTCCTTCAATATAAGGTAAACGTCAGACACATATACAGGGTCGGAAAGTCCCCATGGTTCATCGGCCGTTACGTGAGAGCGATAAAGAAAGTCATAGAAATCCGTGCGATAGAGAAAGATGGCTATAATTAAGGCGTCTAATAGTCACCGCCCATTTCGCCCTTCCACAAATAAGATCCACTTCTTATTTATCTTTCTTTCTCTTTCGCACGGATTTCTATGACTTCCTTTATCGCTCTCACGTAACGGCCGATGGACCATGGGGACTTTCCGACCCTGTATAATTAAGAAAAATTGTATTAACGGCTGTCAAATTTAAATTAAAAATTGTACTTCTATAGCACTGCACAAAACAGTTTAGATTTACAAAGATGGGTACTTTCGTATCAGCAAAATTCGCTTTAAGGTTTTGAGAAAAAAATGCATTGTGCTCTCTGGAGAAAAATGTGTCTTCGACCCTACCCTGGTGGGAAATGAGTGCATCTTCCGTCAGTGCACGTGATGTAGTCCGTTACAAAAAAATAAAAGGACATTAGAAAAACGCGTTTGGAGTATAATGATTCAGACACCACTATTGATAAGGCTTACATTTCAGGGGCATGTTCAGTACGGTATTTTTAAAGCAAAAGATATTCGATTTGGACCGGATTCAAAATTCACTCGACCGGCGACACTGTCTCCTATCTACAGAAAAGTACACAATTTAAAAACATCCATTACATTGCATAACTGCGTCTCGGGCAGCTCTTACTTAAAATTTTTTGCTTCCCGTCCCGAATAAATGTCATAACGTCGAAACGTGTGTAAAGATAGCGCTTGAGAGAACGTAAAATTTTTCCAACAGTCATCCCGAATCTATTTAGGTAGACTTGGCAAGTGGACCACGAGACAGGAGTCTGGTAGAAATCACCTGCAGTCCACCAAGTGCCGACCGGCCAACACAACGACAGGGCCGGTAGTAGAAATTTTAGTGAAATACCTCAAAATCACCATACCCGCCAAAAGTGACATCTTTGACATACAGTGGAATACGGAAATTGTGAGTCGAATTTTCTAAACGTGCCACACTGTTTTTTTTTTTCATTTATGGTAACTAATGGCTAGCCTCATATGATATAATATTACCCTGATTTGGTTCTAATTGACACAATTAATTTATTTAGGATATAATACTAAATAGAAAACACTGCATCACTGTTTATTTGTCTAATTTACTCATTCGATTGTGAAATAATTGCTTCAAAATCTGGGTTTGTACTGATTTATAACTTTTACAATAAAACTTTGTTGATATTGAATGCCATCTTGGAATACTAACTTAATTTTGCACGTGGTTTAGTTTATCTGTGACTTCAGCATTTCGATGAATTTTCTATTAGTCTGTAAAATATTTACATACAAAAAAATGAAGATGATTTGAAGAAAAGGATATCAGAATTCTCCCTACTTTACATATTTAAAAAACAACTTTACAAATAGATTTACAAGCTGATGTATCCTTCAAAATTTGGAATAATATTTAAAAATGATCCGAAGGTCAACACATACTTTGTGTCCCGTTTTTCAGGTTAACACCTCTGGAAATGTGAGAAGGCTGTGAACTTTCCGCAAGCCAATTTTTTTACAAATATTCTACTAATCATTTTATTGATGTCACAAAAGCCTGGCCTACTACGATTTTTTAAAAGGGTCATTTTTATCAAAAAGATAATATTACCAGGCTATTCAACACCCATCAAAATACGCATATACCAAATTTGAACAACAAATGTCTATTGAGTGTTTTTTATGTGGTGCCAAACTTCGAAAAATCAGAACTAAAAATTATAATAAGCAGGTCAAAGATTGCCAAGAAAGTGAAAACAAGTACCAATCGGACAAAGAAAAAATACAGACACAATAAATTTAACACTTTTAATTGAGGCCACAATAAAAATAATAATAATTAACGTACAAAAAATGTAGATAATGAAGTATAAACATTAACTAGTTAAACAAAAAATTGCAAAACACTAAGTAAATTAAATTTTAGTTTTCTCGAACTATGGACTTTTGTGGTTTTATGAAACAAAAAGTTTATAGAAAGGAATTTGGATGACTTAATAAATTGCATAAGACAAGCTTGTGCAGAGATTACTCCACAACAGCTATGTAAATAATTTTTAAATTTAAGAAGAGGATTGGAAAATTGTGTTCGACTGGAAGGTATGGTGGAGAAAACTATTTCATTTAGATTATCGTTTTGCAATTTTTTTGTTTAACAACATAGTATTTATAATTCATTATATTTTTTCTAAGTTATTATTTTTATAATTAATTAATAATAATTATTTAATATAATTAAAAGTTTTAAATGTATAGTGCCTGTATTTTTTTTGCCCGATTGGTATTTGTTATCACTTTCATGGCAATCTTTGACTTGCTTATTATAATTTTTAGTTGTCCGATTTTTTAAAGTTTGGCACCACATAAAAAACACTCAATAGACATTTGTCGTTCAAATTTGGGTATTTTCATGGGTGTTGAATAGCCTGGTCATATTATCTTTTTGATAAAAAAATGTTTAATACTACTTGAAATACTCGAAAAACAACTATTTTAAAAAATCGTAGTAGGCCAGGATTTTGTCCCAGCAATAAAATGATTAGTAGAATATAACCTCCTTTCAGGGTACTATTTGTAAAAAAATGGCTTGCTTTCTCACATTTTCAGAGGTGTCAACCTGAAAAACGGGACACTGTATATGAGTAAAATTAAACTTAACCTAAATTCTTAGTAAGTCACAAATTGTCCTACATTTGAATTGGTGCACCTTTTAAGTTTTTATATAAGTTTGGAAATGAAAAATATTATTATTTTTAGGTAATAGATACCGCACTGATATTATTTTTCTTCTTAAGTACTTAGGATAATGAAAATAAATGTTTTGTTTTGTTAAATGACCACGATAATTGCCAAATTTGCTCACAAATTTAAAAATCAAGGTGTTCTTCATTCTACAAATTAAGAACAGTTACCAGATTCATCTAATTTGCAAAGCTCCTCGAAAATGAATAATCACAGAAATTCAAAACTGATGGTAATTTGAAGAACGGGAAAAATCTGAGTTAAGCCCAATCCACTGAAATAAGAAAACTTGAGGGAACTCTTATCTTTATAATACAATAATAACTGAACTTGTAAGGTCACTTAGTGTATTTTTTTTCTATTTCTGGGTCACTATGTCAGGAACTACCATCTGCACTCTAGTATGAGCATACCGAATTTCTTTTAAATCCAACAAAAATTTTTAAAGATATTTGTTTACCTAAATCATCATTTTAGCCCCAAGAATCTTTTTGGAAATCGAAATAACTTGCAAAATTTCGTAGTTTAACAATTCTCAAGTTTTGAATTTCATTTGCTAAACCGACTGAAAATATTTGACAATCGCTTAAAAATTTGTAACATGATATATCGCCATCTACCAAAATAACTGAAAAAGTAATGAACAATACAAAGCTATATATTTCCTATGAATCTTACTTGTACGACAATATCGTCTTTAAATAAAGTACTATTCAAACTGCAGTTGCCAAAATGCATACTTTCAAATAACCATGCATGATAAACTTGGCAGTGTGTAGGTCAATGAAGAATGCTTGTATTATTTCATGAAAAAAAAAAGATAATTTCACAACCGACTCTTCAAAGATTTTAACTAAATGCACTATTTTTAAATTATATTTCTATAATATTTCTCAATAAGGCACAGTTTAAGTAACCTAAAATTTCGATATTATTTAGGAGTAAGGACTATAAATAAACGATTAATTACTAGGTATACAGGGTGGTCCGAATTTTATGCAGGAAACTTCAAGGGCAGATAGATCTCTTTAAAATAATAGCTGTTTGCCTTATAAACATAGGTATGGAACGGCCTCGTTTTAGAGATACAGGGTGTTGAAGTTGTTAAAAAAAATGATTTTTTATTTATATCTCCGGAATCTATAAACCGGTCTCAATAAAATTTAGTACAGATAATGTATGACAGTAGGCCTTGTATTCCTTAAAATATTAGCTCTAAAGGTTCAACCAGTGGTGTACAACTGGACAGGATCACCCCTTTTTTTATAAAAAAAAAACCTACGCCACTGTCTTTTTACAAATTATTGTAACGGATTTATATTCTAATGCACAAAATACGTAAAATAGGTAACTTGAATTTTTTTCCCAAATTTCACCGTTCTCAAGTTATTCATACCAATACAATCCCCTTGTGGCAGATACTTCTAACCATAATATTACAATAGTATTTATGTTTATGCTTAAAAGTAAGTGCAATTTGTAAGCACTTCAACAAAATTACACTCGTCGCTTTCATCTTTTTGGATTAAAAAACGTCTCGGCAACTCGGGATGAGTAAATCGATTTGAAAAGTTCTACATAAAGATGGTAGAAATCCGTACCATTTACAACCTGTACAAAATTTACTTCCGGAAGATGCAGAGAGACGCCTGAATTTTTATCAGTGGTTGTTAAAGTCTCAACATAATCCAGAATTCTTACTAAAAATACTTTGGATCGATGAAGCTACGTTCAATCCTCATGAAATTCGAACAAGATCTTTTCAAGACGAATTTTCTGTGAAAGTGTGGCTCGCAATAAAGTTTGTGTACCTTTCTTCTTACTACCATCCAAATTCGCAATAATTTATAAACTCTCTAGAAAACCATCTATTTGAATTATTATTTTTAAGCATAAACATAAATATTCTTGTAATATTATGGTTTGAAATGTCTGCCACAAGAAGACTGTATTGGTATAAATAACTTGAGAACGGCAAATCTTAGGGAAAAAATTCAAGTTACCTTTTTTACGTATTTAGTGCATTAGAATATAAATCCGTTACAATATGTTGTAAAAAATACAGTGGCGTAGGTTTTTTTTATAAAAAAAGTGGTGATCCTGTCCAGTTGTACACCACTGGTTGAACCTCTAGAGCTCGTATTTTAGGGAATGTAAGGCCTACTGTCATATATTATTTGTACCAAATTTTATTGAGATCGGTTAATAGATTCCGGAGATATAAACAAAAAATCATTTTTTTTTAACAACTGTAACACCCTGTATCTCTAAAACGAGGCCGTTCTAGACCTATGTTTAGAAGGCAAACACCTATTATTTTAAAGAGATCTATCTACCCTCGAAGTTTCCTGCATAAAATTCGGACCACCCTGTATAGAAGCACGAGAACCCGCAATTTTAATTAAGTACTGGAATTTCAAACATAATATTAATTATTCTATTTATAACAAGTTCATATAAAAAATATTGCTACCTAATTTTGCTTTGGAGAACGGGAGAGTATAAATATCCTTAACAACACGAAATAAAAGCTGAGAATGAATTGTCAGTGTTGCGAGAAACAACTACTCCGAGAGCTATATACTCGCAACACCTAGTGCAACAGCTAGGATCGTTTGTCAGTCAGTTTAACCCACCAGGCACAGACCGGTTTCGGACTTATTAGTCCTCATCAGTGTGTCATAGGTGCGACAACCGACAAACGACCCAGCTGTTCTTCGTCGTATCGTCACGACAAGGAAATACATTGTACGCGGGAACGATACGACAGATGGAGCCATTTGCGCTCACGCGTATAAAAGCTGAGAATAATTAAACAAAAGGAAAATATCAGAATTTACAAAGAAAAACAATTATTTTAAGTAAAAAATGACTTATTCAAGTTACAAAATAAATGAAAAAAATATTCCGCCTCCAGATATTTTCCGCAAAGTATTTGTTAGGGGGTTTGGAGCTTTTAACTTTTTTTTAAAGTAACCTGAACTCCGTGGGAAGGACTGAAAAACTTTTTCCTTACTACAACGTCTATAAATAATTTTGTTCCCGTAAATAGCCTCCGGAAAATATACATTTTAAGCCACCTAGGAGGTGAAATATTTCTTTTAGTCGTTCCTCTCGTGAATGCCTTTTTCGCTGATTAACAGGTTTCAAAGTAAGTCTTAATTCAAATAGACGGATTTCCCTTCAACGCGG